GCTCTGGCAGCGCCTCTCCCTCGACTGCAGCAACAGGAACCAGCTCAGGCACGCCGTCCTCCTTATACTCCTTTTTTGGCTTCGCTGTTGCATCTGATTCCCAGCCGTCATCGTCGTCATAGTCGTATTGCTCCTCGAACTCATATTCGTCGATCTCCTCATTGTCCCTGGCCAGTTGCTGGAAAATGTCATCATCCTCATCGTCCACGAACGCCTCGTCCTCCAGTGCCTCCAGAACTTCACGCAACCGAGGATCCATATCAGGTTGGAATCCGGCAATCGCATCGGGTATGTTTTGCTGAGATTGGTAGTTCATGCGTGAGAGGTTCTTTGACGGCAGAACGGACTCGTCAAGGATGGCCTCGCTTCTATGCTCGAGATCCATCTGGCGCAAAGCGTCCTCGAGAGATTGCGGTTGCTTTCCCTTGCCCTTGTTCGCTGTGGCTGAGCCCTCGACCCAGACGGCCTCGCCGCCACCCTGATTGAGGTCGCGCATATGCTGCATGTAGTCATACTCGGTGTCGTCGTAGTAGATTCCATACTCTGCGGCCTCGCCCTCGTTGTCTCGAATGCTGGCGGCATCAGACCCAAGGTCGGATGCAAGATCGCTCAGGTGTTTACCCTTATCACCACCGCGCTGGGCGACAGGGTTGAGAACCATGGACGGCGCATTTTCGTCGTGGATGAGCGGGTCATTTTGGGGACGGTGGACGAGGGTGAAATGCTGCGCACTCTTCTTGTCGCTAGGAAGGAGAAAGTCAGTCCGAGGCGCACATCTTCAGAAAACGCACAAAGACTCACATCCACTTTCCCTTCGCCATATTTGCTAATGTTGATACCTCGTGTCAAACAACAAGCTGGTGGTGTCGGGTTTCCGGGCTCAAAGATTGAATGTGTGGGACGAACGGACGTACCCCTCGATCGCATGCGCACCTGGTCGGGCCTCGAAAAAAAAAAGTCCCTTGGTGGGATGGCTTTTTTCTGCGCTTATCGCATGTTATCGTTCTATCGATAAGAGTCCAAGCGGCCGAAAAGGGTTTTTACTTGCAGCGGGGGACTTTTTTGCCCCGCGACCTACGCCATTAATCAGCGGGGCATTGCATTCTCTTCTGACCGATTGCGACGGACTCCCACTTTCTACTATTACTCATATTCAACTCGCTCTCTTGAGCAAATTCTATTTTTTCGTTGGACTATCATTATCGACTGAGACACGAGAAACACCGCAATAATGGTGCTCGCCAAGTCGAAGAAGACGTCTGGTTTGGGCAATGCCCTCATGAACGACCGCTTCGGCAAGGGTCGTGGCACGGACAGAAAGAAGGGCTCATCCATCACGCGAGTGAACCATGCCACCGGAGAAGAGGTAAAATGATGGCCCACGATCATCGCGCACTTATGGCAGTGTTGACAGTGTAATAGTACCTCACGAACGAGCGACAAGAGGCAGCATGGGTCAAGATGCGATCGGTCACAGAGCAAGGCGCTCTCGACGAATTCCTTGCGACAGCAGAGTTGGCTGGAACGGACTTCACCGCCGAGAAGATGAACAACATCAAGATTATACACACCGACCAGAAGAACCCCTATTTACTTTCTGGTGCGGAGGAGAGGGGTGTGATTGCCAAGCAGAAGGCTCACAAAGGACGACTGACCGTACCGAGAAGACCGAAGTGGGATGCGTCCACTACACCTGAAGAGCTGGACAGAGCAGAGAGGGATAGTTTCTTGAACTGGCGCAGAGGTCTTGCTGAGTTGCAGGAGAACAACGATCTGCTAATGACACCATTCGAGCGAAACCTCGAGGTTTGGAGGCAGCTTTGGCGTGTTATTGAGCGTTCGGATCTTGTGGTTCAGATTGTTGATGCGCGAAACCCACTCATGTTCAGATCCGAGGACTTGGAACAATATGTGAAGGAGATCGACACGAAGAAGGAGAACCTCCTCCTTATCAACAAGGCGGATATGTTGACGCTCACCCAACGAAAGACTTGGGCCAAGTACCTGAAGGAGAACGGTATTGCTTACAGATTCTTCTCTGCATTCCTGGCAAAGGAACTTCAGGAGTCGATGGAAAGCGACGAAGAGGAGGAGGAGGATGAGCCCGAAGCCGGCAGCAGCTCTCAAGCCAAGCCTGCGGCGACGAAAGCTGAAGCTGACGAGGAAGAGTCAGAGAGCGATGGCGGAGAGGAAGGTGGTGCTGAGACAAGTGCTGAGGCCGGTGCCGAGACTACACAAGAACAAGTAGAGCTCGAAGATGAGGACACAAGGATCCTGACGGTCGAGGAGCTGGAAGACATCTTCCTGAGCCATGCCCCTGAGAATGCCGGTATGTTTGTGCAAGTGCCTCCAATATCAACAGAGAAGCTAACTGCCAGAATCTAGACCCTGGCCACAAGATGCAGATTGGTCTTGTTGGATACCCCAACGTCGGAAAGTCCTCCACCATCAACGCCCTCATCGGCGCCAAGAAGGTGTCTGTCTCCTCAACACCAGGAAAGACAAAGCACTTCCAGACCATCCACCTCAGCGACAACGTTGTGTTGTGCGATTGCCCTGGTCTTGTTTTCCCTAACTTTGCAAGCACCAAGGCCGACCTCGTTTGCAACGGTGTCCTGCCTATTGATCAACTGCGCGAGTTCACCGGCCCCGCAGGCCTCGTCACTAGGAGAATTCCCAAGCCGTTCCTCGAGGCTGTTTACGGAATCACCATCAAGACCCGCGCAATTGAGGAGGGCGGCACTGGAATTCCCACCGCACAGGAGCTACTTGCTTCTTACGCTAAGGCCAGAGGTTTTCAAACATCAGGTCTGGGTCAGCCTGATGAGTCAAGAGCTTCCAGATATATCCTCAAGGATTACGTCAACGGCAAGCTGTTGTACTGCGAGCCACCGCCGAACACCGTCGACGGCCCCGAATTTAACAACGAGCTCTACGACGCCGCCCATCTACCGGAGAAGCGTCGTGCGGCGCTGGCGGCGTCTCTCGACACCATGTCGCTCGTCGGCGACGACATCTCGATAGCGCCCTCTGACCTGGCAGTGCTCCCTGCCGGCCCCAAATCCAAGCAGATTGACAAGGGTTTCTTCGGAGCCGGCGGCAGCGGTGCTGGCCATCTTAAGATGCCATTCAGCCACAAGTACACCGAGCAGGGCCAGAAGCACCTGAGTGGTAGGAAAGCTCGTGCTATGATTGCTCTGGAAAATGGTGTTGACCCCAAGGACGTGCGCTTGTCCTCTGGCAAGAAGCACTTTAAGGGCGGAGCGAAAAGCAGGAAGGGCAAGAAGAAGGCCGATGAGGATGATGATTAGATACCAATAAAAACGCTGTCATGCTTTTGCGCCAAGAAATGAATGCCTTTGTCCCGTCCCGTTGTAGATCATAGACGAGATAAAATGAACGATGGCTTGAATTACTGAGTATGGAGAAATAATGAGAAAAGGCCTCAGTAAGATGGTGCTGTAGGTACCGCGTACTTTTTAGTGGAGCCTGTCAAGCTTAGCGCGGGTCCCGACGCGTCTTTTCCCAGAGCATCGCGTAAAGTGCTTCTGTCACCACCAGCACAACTCCAAGCTCCTCCAATTGCGCATCTTCACGACAAACATCGGGCCAAACAACCATGCCTGCACAAAAGACGATCACCAAGCCCGAGGAGGTCGGCGAGTCCTCAACTTCTGCGGCCAAGAAGGCTCTGACCGCAGCGTCAAACGGCGCCCCCAACTATGAGCTTCCTTGGTAGGATTCCATTGTCGATGGCAACGAGGCCACATGCTGATGCATTTCTCAGGGTCGAGAAGTACCGTCCCGTTTTCCTTGACGATGTTGTCGGAAACACCGAAACGATCGATCGCCTCAAGATCATTGCGAAGGAAGGAAACATGCCGCACGTCATCATCTCGGGTATGCCTGGTATTGGAAAGACGACAAGTGTGCTCTGTCTAGCAAGACAATTGCTGGGAGACTCATACAAGGAGGCGGTCCTGGAGCTGAACGCTTCTGATGAAAGAGGTACGATTGGTTTGATGCTCTACAGATGCAACCGTTGACATGTTTCCGCAGGTATCGACGTTGTCCGTAACCGCATCAAGGGTTTCGCCCAAAAGAAGGTCACTCTCCCCCAAGGCCGCCACAAGCTTGTCATCCTCGACGAAGCCGACAGCATGACATCGGGCGCGCAGCAAGCGCTTCGCCGCACGATGGAGATCTATTCCAACACAACCCGCTTCGCCTTCGCCTGTAACCAGTCCAACAAAATCATCGAACCTCTCCAGTCTCGTTGCGCAATCCTGCGTTACGCCCGCCTCACCGACGAGCAGGTCGTCAAGCGTTTGCTGCAAATCATCGAGGCTGAAAAGGTCGAGTATAGCGATGACGGCCTCGCTGCGCTCGTCTTCAGTGCCGAAGGCGACATGCGACAGGCCATCAACAACCTGCAATCAACCTTTGCCGGTTTCGGTTTCGTGTCTGGTGACAACGTCTTCAAGGTCGTGGACTCGCCGCACCCGATCAAGGTGCAGGCCATGCTCAAGGCTTGCTACGAGGGCAATGTCGACTCGGCCTTGGACAGTCTGAGGGAGCTTTGGGATCTGGGATACTCGAGCCACGACATTATCAGCACCATGTTCAAGGTTACCAAGACCATTCCCACTCTGAGCGAGCATTCGAAGCTGGAATTCATCAAGGAGATTGGATTTACGCATATGAAGATCTTGGAGGGAGTGCAGACGCTGCTGCAGCTGAGCGGCTGCGTGGCGAGGCTGTGCAAGATCAACATGGATCCCAAGAAATTCGAGGTGCCGTTAAAATGAAACGGATAATCAGCATACCTGCGCAGGCAGGAACTAATGACTTGCATGATTTGGCGTTTGGGGATTTATGTCCGCGATACTTTGACAGTAAAAGCCATGGATTCAATATCCGGTGTCATACAGTAAAATGAAAGCATCTTAGAACATCTCTTGATATCCATAGATGGCCCAGGGCCTCGACCGTGAGGCCACTTACTTCTTTTCCTCAGGGTTCTCGAGAAACTCCTGCTCAAACCTCTCCCACTTGGCCCTGTCCCTCATCAGACGCCTCTGCATTCTGATCCGGGCCTCATACTCTCGTAACCTATGATCCGCTTCCAGCATACTTCCTAACACCATGGCGGACATTTGTATGTAGCTGTCACCCAAGTTAGTCCGTTTCCGAGTACCATCAGCAGTGTCGCGTGACGCATTACCATTTGAACTGGATAGTGAGACCTTTGTACAACGGCGAGAACTTCCACGCTGCTGCACCCAACACCGCAGCGCCGATGCCCCATCTTGCGGCGCCGACGACGGCACCCCGGGTAGCTTCCCACGCGGCGTCATTGGCCTCGGCGCTCTTCATCTGGTCGTGCGACTTCATCTTGTGCGCATGGCGGCCGGGGCGGGCTGCGGAGAGGAGAGGGTGATGACGTCGGTGATGAGCTCCTCTAATCCGATAATGAACCGATGAATCTCGTGTGAATCGAGGTGCGCGCAATCGGTAGCACTTAGGCCTGGACGAGAACCGCGTATCTTCAAGGAGGAAAGGGTTGAGACTCCCAAATTATGATTGGTGAGAATCGTACGATAGCTCTCACTGGAAGGCTCACAATGTCGAAAGGCCTTTTTTACTCCATCAGTCCCCGAAGGTAGACAAGTTGAACGGCGAAGTGGGACGAGAGCAGACGCCGAAGCGCAACCCCTGCAACGTCCATCAGCGCGTCCCGATCTCCTGAGGCGGGTTCCATCCAGTGGGGGTTGCGCTCACTGAGACCCCGCCGATGCCGCCGACCCCAAGTCTGCAGGGGCCCTTGGTGCTATCCAAAGCTTATCAACTCCAACAATTTCCATGCCACCTCCTGAGTCTTCTCCAATGGCGCAAGACGAGTCTGTTGCCGATGCTGAGAAGGAGGTGCTGGAGTTGGAAGCGCGTCTGGCCGCGGCGAGGGGCAAGTTGAAGAGTCTCAGTGGACAGAATGAGGATCACTCATTACCATCAAGAAGTCTCCCGAAACCATCATGTCAGCCACCCATCTCGCAACGTCTCAAGAAATTCTCACAACTAACACACTCAAGCCTCACTCACAACATCAAACCACTATCACCTCCTTCTCTCAGACTCGGCCCTTCCACTAGGCTCATTCGCCTTCAGCAGCGGTCTCGAGTCTTATCTAGCCCACACGCGAGGTCGCTCCTCCTTCAACATCTTCCTACCAGAATCCATTTCGGCTTACGCCTCGACAACGCTCCCCTTCGTTCTCGCAGCGCATCGCGATCCCTCTGCGGTCGCGGAGCTGGACGACTTCCTCGACGCAGCAATCATCTGCACCGTTGGCCGTCGCGCCTCCATAGCGCAAGGCCGCGCACTACTCTCCATCTGGGAACGCTCCTTCGCCTCATCTCTGCCCCGCGATGTCGTCGAGACATTACAGCCGTACGCGGTCATGTTAAAGTCTGCGTCGTCCAGACCGAGCGCCGATGAGTCTGCTGATCCGCCGTTGGTGTTTGCCCATCTGGCGCCCCTTTTCGGGGCCATCTGCAACTTGGTCGGTCTCACCCTGCATCAGACGGCGTACGTCTTCATGATGGGCCACATCAAGGCTCTGGTATCGGCGGCTGTGAGAGCGAGCATGTTTGGGCCATATCAGGCGCAGAAGGTCCTCGCCAGTGGTCAGGTGCAACAAATCATCACTGCGGCTATCGAGAGGGAGTGGGAGACACCAGTAGAGCGAGCCGGGCAGACGATGCCCGTCATGGATTTATGGATAGGCAGACACGAAGTTCTGTATTCACGAATATTCAACAGTTGAATTCTTCAGGTCGCAAGCCTGTGTCCCTCGATGTTCCATTATCAACGGGTATCATGATCGCTTTTGTCAATTATTGTACAATGCCCCTGGTCCTCAACGTGCTCACTCATCATCATCGTCGCTGTCGTATGCGACTAATGGTCCCGCAGACGCGGCGGGTTTCGGCTTCGATGCCACTGCTACCTTGGCAGTGTTCAAGGCTGCCAAGGTGCTGTTAGAGAAGATGCCACCAGACAGGATGGGCTGCTCCTGCGGCGCAGGCAGGGCTTGGTACTGCGCCTGGTTTGCAGCGTCCCCATTCTCAAGCATAGGTCGCTCCTGATATTCTACCTCAAAGCCCTCCCGCCCGACGGGGTTCACAGCGTTCGCGCCGCGGGCGAAGTGAACCTCGTCCGGCGCCTCGTAGCCCTCGAGCCCGTAGCTGCTCTCAATCTTTCTCCTTTTCCTGGCTTCAGGGTCTTTGCCCTCAATCTCTGCGACGAACTCCGCTGGCAGTGCCCTGCGGATGGCCTCGGCGGCTTGCTCCTCGATTCGTCTCGCCTCGCGCGCCTGGGCCATGGGGTTCGGGTCGGCTGTCGCCCAGCGGACGTTGAGAACCTCTTCGTGGTCCAACGACTGGTGTGCCATTGCCTCCTTGGCAAATTGCGCATTCGCCTCGTTGGTGTATGTGATGAAAGCAACTCCGCGTGTATTGAGCACACGAACTATACAGACGTTAGCGGTAGGCCAGAAATGAAAAGGGATTGATGAACATACTTCGCTCAATTTGCCCCCATTCTGCGAAATGACGCGCCACAATTTCTTCGATATCATCCGTAACATGTATCCTTCCCACATAGATGGTTCGGTTCTGCCTCATGAAGCTGCCAACACCGCCCATGTCGTCTCTGTAGTCGGAATGCTTGTCTCGTCCAAAGCAGTCCACGTTCGGGTTGAACAGGTCGTGGATACCCGGCAACCGGTGCAGGTATTCGCAGTCCTGACCCTTGGGACAAATTCCTCTTGCGAAGAAGAGACAAAAGTAGCTCCCCGTGACCTTGTCGGCCCTTGTGTATCCGCTGTCTTTCGCGACATTGCAGCGTCCCTTTGCGTGGGTTTTCGACAGGTACTTGTCCTCGCGGTCACCGCCAGACCACTTGTTGTACCAGATGTTGAAGATCGTTCCGGTCTGCGGCGGGGGCTCGGAGGTGATGAAGGACGGGTCGACCTGCGGACGCGCCGGGCGCTTCTTCTTGCGGATGATCTTCTTGACTTTCCTCTCTGCCGGCGCGGCGACTTCGGTGTTGGTCGTCGTCAGCGCCGTTTCTTGTGCCTCGGGCGCATCGACATCTTGGATTCTGGCGACGGCAACTTCCTCGTCTGACATGATTGCGTTTGCGTATACTCGTACTCGTGGAATCGCGGGTTGTGATGAGCAAATTGTCGAGAGAATGTTGTCGCCAGATGAATTTCTAGGTTCGCCGCGCGACGCATTAGGTAAGCCTTACCGCGTTCTTCAATGTGTGGCGCAGTAGCTGTGGTTCAGGGCGGTGAGTGGGACCCATGCCGGTGGAAGCAGCCCCGCGGTAAATTCTGCCACGGCCATCGTCTTCCCACGCCTTGGAGTGTGGCTGCCCCACCTTGGAACCTGTGAAGCCTTCATCGACTCGACGTAGACGCATTCTTCGTGCCATCTTTGAATTATTTTAGACGGGGTTTTCGGAGTCTTTAGACTCTGAACAGATAAGCCGCCAAGATGGTCAACATTACGGAAAAGATCAAGGAGTATGGCTCCCCGCCGAATCAGTATGAGCAGGATAACTGACGATGAGGGATCAGGATTGAGGAGGAGATGAGAAAGACGCAGAGTAAGCGCGCTATCACCGAATGACGGGGCTGTCTTTTCGGAAAGATTCATCTTCATCCGGGCAACCTAGATTCTGGGCCAGACCTGCCTTTCGCGGCTTTGCACTCCACCTAGGGCAGCACAGATGTACGGTTCTAGGATGGGTTGAAATTGCCGAAGAGAACCAGGCATTGGGCCCTTTTTTGATCTGCGACATTTACTGACAATTTCTAGAGAACAAGGCCACTGGTATGTTGTGATGGAAAGCGCATTGTCTGAAAACTATTAACCATCCCCTTTCAGAATATCATCTGGGTCTCCTCAAGGGGTAAGCTGCCCCGTAAACCTTTTTGATACCATAGCACTGACATAACGACAGTAAACTCGCGCGTCTAAGAGCACAGCTTCTGGAACCCGGTCCAGGTTCAGGAGGTGGTGGCGGTGCCGGCTTCGACGTCAGCAAAAGTGGTGATGCAAGAATAGCCCTCGTCGGCTTCCCCTCCGTCGGAAAATCCACATTCTTATCCAAGGTCACCAAGACGAGGTCGGAAGTCGCATCTTATGCCTTCACAACACTCACAGCCATCCCCGGTGTCCTCGAGTACGGCGGCGCCGAGATCCAGCTGCTCGATCTGCCCGGTATCATCGAGGGTGCCGCCGAGGGCAAGGGTAGAGGAAGACAGGTCATCTCCGCGGCCAAGACCAGCGACATGATTCTCATGGTCCTGGACGCGACCAAGAAGGCGGAGCAAAGGGCCCTGCTCGAGGCCGAACTGGAAGCCGTCGGCATCCGTCTGAACAGAGAACCTCCGTAAGAGATCCCCTCTTCACAAACCTCGTCCAAGCTAACTCCCCGCAGCAACATTTACCTCAAAGCAAAGAAGGCCGGTGGCATGAAAATCACCTTCCAATCCCCCCCAAAGGCCATGGACGAGAAGATGATCTTCAACATCCTGCGCGACTACAAGATCCTCAACTGCGAGGTCCTCGTGCGCGACGAGAACGCCACCGTCGACGACCTCATCGACGTCATCATGAAGGACCACCGCAAGTACATCAAGTGCCTGTACGTCTACAACAAGATCGACAGCGTCTCGCTCGACTTCCTCGACAAGCTCGCGCGCGAGCCCCACACGGTCGTCATGAGTTGCGAGCTCGACCTCGGCATCCAGGACGTCGTCGACCGCTGCTGGCAGGAGCTCAAGCTCATCCGCATCTACACGAAGCGCAAGGGCATCGACCCCGACTTCGGCGAGGCGCTGATTGTGCGCAGCAACAGCACGATTGAGGACGTGTGCGATCGTATCCACCGGACGCTCAAGGAGACATTCAAGTATGCGCTTGTCTGGGGCGCGAGTGCGCGACATGTGCCGCAGAGGGTGGGCTTGGGACATGCCGTGGCGGATGAGGATGTGGTTTACATTGTGAGCGCCTGGAAGGCGTAGACAACATGATACGAGAGCATACGAATGGGACGAAGTGGTTTAGTGCGTGAGGAGTTGTATTTTCTGCCCAGGCGAAGCTGCATGTGGCCAGCCGATGAATACAGTCCCTCCCAGAATCCTAGCCATTAAAAAGAACTAGAGGAGAGACAGAGAAAGAAAGAAAAAGCTGATATCGTTTCGTGTCATGTCATGGTACAGTCCCTTTATCCTAAAGCAAGACAATGGTACCCCCGTTGAACGCCGATGCCCCATGCCCCTCTGAAAACATCAAGAGGAGGCTGCAGGTTCAATAACCTGCCAG